TCTGTTTGGGGGCAAGTTTGCTGATCAAGTAAATGGCTCCTCTGTTTGCGGGCAAGTTTGCTGATCAAGTAAATGGCTCCTCTGTTTGCGGGCAAGTTTGCTGATCAAGCAAATGGCTCCTCTGTTTGCGGGCAAGTTTGCTGATCAAGTAAATGGCTCCTCTGTTTGCGGGCAAGTTTGCTGATCAAGTAAATGGCTCCTCTGTTTGCGGGCAAGTTTTCTGATCAAGTAAATGGCTCCTCTGTTTGCGGGCAAGTTTGCTGATCAAGTACTGCTCCCCTGTTTGCGGGCAAGTTTTGCTGACAAGTAATGGCTCCTCTGTTTTGCGGGCAAGTTTTGCTTGATCAAGTAAATGGCTCCTTTATCTCCGGGCAAGTTCACTGATCAAGTAAATGGCTCCTCTGTCTACGGGGAAGATCGCTCATCAAGTAAATGGATCCTCTGTCTCCGGGCAAGCATGCTAATCAAAAAGATGGCTCCTCGGTTTGCGGGCAAGTTTGCTGATCAAGTAAATGGCTCCTCTGTTTGCGGGCAAGTTTGCTGATCAAGTAAATGGCTCCTCTGTTTGCGGGCAAGTTTGCTGATCAAGTAAATGGCTCCTCTGTTTGCGGGCGAGCTTGCTGATCAAGTAAATGGCTCCTCTGTTTGCGGGCAAGTTTGCTGATCAAGTAAATGGCTCCTCTGTTTGCGGGCAAGTTTGCTGATCAAGTAAATGGCTCCTCTGTTTGCGGGCAAGTTTGCGGATCAAGTAAATGGCTCCTCTGTTTGCGGGCAAGTTTGCTGATCAAGTAAATGGCTCCTCTGTTTGCGGGCAAGTTTGCTGATCAAGTAAATGGCTCCTCTGTTTGCGGGCAAGTTTGCTGATCAAGTAAATGGCTCCTCTGCTTGCAGGCAAGTTTGCTGATCAAGTAAATGGCTCCTCTGTTTGCGGGCAAGTTTGCTGATCAAGTAAATGGCTCCTCTGTTTGCGGGCAAGTTTGCCGATCAAGTAAATGGCTCCTCTGTTTGCGGGCAAGTTTGCTGATCAAGTAAATGGCTCCTCTGTTTGCGGAATTGTGATACAAGTCATAGTATGGGCTTCCTCTGTTTGCGGGCAAGGTTGCTGACCAGTAAGTGGCTCCTCTGTTTGCGGGCAAGTTTGCTGATCAAGTAAATGGCTCCTCTGTTTGAGGCAAGTTTGCTGATCAAGTAGATGGCTCCTCTGTTTGCGGGCAAGTTTGCTGATCAAGTAAATGGCTCCTCTGTTTGCGGGCAAGTTTGCTGATCAAGTACATGGCCCCGCTGTCTCCGGGCCAGTTAACTGATCAAGTAAATGGCTCCTTTGTCTCCGGGCAAGTTTGCTGATCAAGTAAATGGCTCCTCTGTTTGCGGGCAAGTTTGCTGATCAAGTAAATGGCTCCTCTGTTTGCGGGCGAGCTTGCTGATCAAGTAAATGGCCCCTCTGTTTGCGGGCAAGTTTGCTGATCAGTAAATGGCTCCTCTGTTTGCGGGCAAGTTTGCTGATCAGTAAATGGCTCCTCTGTTTGCGGGCAAGTTTGCGGGCATCTTAAATGCTGCTCCTCTCAAGTAAATGGCTGCGGGCAAGTCTGATCAAGTAAATGGCTCAAGTAATGGCTCTCCTCTGTTTGCGGGCAAGTTTGCTGATCAGTAAATGGCTATTTGCGATCAAGTAAATGGCTCCTCTGTTTGCGGGCAAGTTTGCTGATCAAGTAAATGGCTCCTCTGTTTGCGGGCAAGTTTGCTGATCAAGTAAATGGCTCCTCTGTTTGCGGGCAAGTTTGCTGATCAAGTAAATGGCTCCTCTGTTTGCGGGCAAGTTTGCTGATCAAGTAAATGGCTCCTCTGTTTGCGGGCAAGTTTGCTGATCAAGTAAATGGCTCCTCTGTTTGCGGGCAAGTTTGCTGATCAAGTAAATGGCTCCTCTGTTTGCGGGGCAAGTTTGCTGATCAAGTAAATGGCTCCTCTGTTTGCGGGCAAGTTTGCTGATCAAGTAAATGGCTCCTCTGTTTGCGGGCAAGTTTGCTGATCAAGTAAATGGCTCCTCTGTTTGCGGGCAAGTTTGCTGATCAAGTAAATGGCTCCTCTGTTTGCGGGCAAGTTTGCTGATCAAGTAAATGGCTCCTCTGTTTGCGGGCAAGTTTGCTGATCAAGTAAATGGCTCCTCTGTTTGCGGGCAAGTTTGCTGATCAAGTAAATGGCTCCTCTGTTTGCGGGCAAGTTTGCTGATCAAGTAAATGGCTCCTCTGTTTGCGGGCAAGTTTGCTGATCAAGCAAGTGGCTCCTCTGTTTGCGGGCAAGTTTGCTGATCAAGTAAATGGCTCCTCTGTTTGCGGGCAAGTTTGCTGATCAAGTAAATGGCTCCTCTGTTTGCGGGCAAGGCCCCTCCAAGCCCCCAAACTAGGTTTGTTAGCCTTTTCCAGGCCCTCTCCAAGCCCACAAATTGCTTTGACCTTCTCCAGGCCTGTTTTTCAGCTTCGCCTTGGCATTGGCCATGGCTTTGCCCGACCCACGCTTGGATTTTTGTTCTTGCTCAACCACCAAATTGGGCCTTGTTTCAATGACGGTTCAATTTAATCAAATACTGCTGGGTTTTTTCAATTTACCCAAACCGCCAACTTACTTAAGCGGAATTATGGTTGTCCACTGCTTTATTTAAATCCCGCTTTCCTTCTGCTCTTCAAACCACAACCTGCGCTGGCGCATCTTCGGCACAAGCCGTCTAAAATTTATGTTTTTGGGTTCAGAGTTTAGGGTGCCTTTTGCCTGCAGTGGCGCACCCGCCAGCCGAGCTTCGGGAAGCGAGCTAGCATAACCACATCATGGAACCAGAGCAATTCCAACTCTCCGAGCTGCGGGCTCAGAGTGGCATGTCGAAGTCCCCGAGTTCATGTGCCTTGCTGGCAGGCCGCAGTTCCCACAACGAGACGAAGCTCAACTACGTGCAGACGGCGTGCGTGTCAAGTTAAAAGCAGATCTCATGACACTTCGAAGTGAATTGGGGTCGAGGGTGCGGGGAGATCGGGTGAGCCAAAGCTGACGGTGGTGAACCCATGTGAGACTGAACCGGAGGTGACTCCAGCAAGAGTTGGAAGAACAAGTACGTTGCGGGTGGCCCTTGCCAGCTTACCGAGGCTGTTCAGTATTACAGCCCCAAATCCGGATGACAAGCCTGACTGGCAGTAAAGGTGTGTGTGGATTTCCACTTTGGAAGAAGCCGCAGCCTCAGATATTGCAGTCGTTCCTGCTTGGGTGAGCTACTCTTGTTGATGTTAATTATTGCCATGTCAAACATGGGCACTCCAACGCGTACTGGAAAGGATTCTTTACCGCGGGATACTCGAACAGTGTGTACTCCCACAACACTTTGCTGCACGAACCCTTCACGTTAATTAAATCTCAACATACCACCACACTCCAAGCGCATTTTTCTCGAGCTGCCAGCTGTACGAACCAGTGACACGGCCGGTCGGCCATGCCCCTGGTCCCGTACGGAGAAATCTACGTACAGGTGGATAGATAGATGGCTGGATGGCTGGATGGCTAGAAATATCTGCGGTCATAAGCAAGCAAACACAAAATAAAGCAAACATACATACACGAATGAACACATGCACACATGCATCCGTGCATACATGCATACATGCATACATAAGTAATACAGGACAGTCGTAGAGTCCTGGATTCGCATTGTCACCATCGTAAGAGGACGGAAAGTGACAATGAAGGCAGTAGCATCAAGGGCTGGATAGAGCACATTGTTGACTGTGTCAACAGGCAAAGCTTGCTATGGAGAGAGATTCGGCGTGCACGTTCGGCCGCGGCGACGCTTGAAGATTCAACGATGCCAAGGCTTGCATGAACACCAATGTGAAGGGACTCCGTCTTGGAGCCGCCCTGCTGAATTCAGAATCCTGTTCGCTGCCTACGTCGTGGTTCGCGGTTCGCTTCCAAGGACACAGAGCCAGGTTCATCTTAACAAGGAATTGCAAAAGACAGTCCTCTTATCTTTGAGCCAAGTTGATCGACGCAGGACCAGACTTGCATACCTGGCCGTCCCTCGACACAGAGCCAGCTCAGAGCCAGCGCGCTCTGCTCCAACTTTCCAGGGAGGTCCGCTTCACGAGGCCTGTCGCGAGACACAGCGCAGTATAGTCCAGAGCAAGAAGAGCCTTCACCCCACAGCCCAAAAGCCCCAAAAACCTCAAACACAATACCCAGAAAGTTCCGGCATTGAGAGCCTGCTGAGTGGGGTTGGGGCGCAGCGTCGACGGATTGGGGTGCCGTTGGGATTCTAGAAATACGAATTTCAAGCTTTCAGATCTGAGTTTAAGCCAAAAACGCACGCACTGCTACAACCCTGAAAAGTATGGCAATGCCCAAGCTCGAAACCCCAGAAGGACCCAGCCTGAACCCCTGAACGAAGCCCAACCCCCTGAACCCTAGATTCCAACATCCTGGAGCTTGGTTTAACCTGATAATTCCAAACCCTAAGCCCTAAACCTTAAACCCAAAGGCTCGAACTCTGAAACCCCGCAGCTCCAAACCGAAATGATGCATTCCGAACATCCCCACCCTAAAAAGAGACCGCCGAATATCTTCTTCCGCATGACCGTGTACCCCAGAGTCTTTGGCGATAACTTGGGGTCCTGGATGAAGCTACAGACTTCACCAAGGTTTCGATTTGGCTAGCCAGTGCTCTCGATTACATGGAATAGAAACCAAGTCAAGGGTCCAGAGTAAGAGATGCAATTGCCAGATCTGACACGGGCATTCCAACATTACTCTGCTGCCGGATACTCTCAGGGTAGAATTCCGGTCAGGGAAGAATGGGGTGGGCGCTGCTCCAAAAATGCCATGTGGGATCTTCTGATCTAATCTGTGGGTAGGCATTGGCTGAAGACGAGAGCATCCCCAACGTGTCCCGCCAACTGGAGACATAGCGAGACCCTCTGATTGTCATGACGAATGCCTCCAAAATTCCGGCTGATCTGCCGGCCAAGTCATGCGTAGCCTCGAAGGCTTGCGCGTCTTTAGGTCAGGGGTTTGCGGATGCAGGGTGTGTAAGACTTTCTGCACTCTCGCTTAGCCAACTTCCGTGACTAAGCTAACCGGTGCAGCCACGGCCACCACGATTCGACAATGACGCTACACCGTAGCGAAGCAGCTGTACCATTCGTTGCCGTAGCTATGCCACAGCCATTAAAGTCATCACATGCGTACTTACATACATACGAACATACGTATGTGCATACATGTTGTGTATGCATACGTATATACATACATACATCATCATACATCCATGCATACATACATACATACATACATACATACTCATCAGCAGCAGCAGCATCGTCATCATCATCACACCATCGCCACCACAGTTGCCATCCACATGGTGATTTTCATCAGTGGTTCATCAGCATCATCACCACTTCCGTGTCATCCCCAAACCATGCGGCCAAAAGAAACGTCGTTCGCCGCCTTCACACCCTGACCACGCCCTGAACCGGTGCAGGCTTTTTGGACGTGAGACCCCAAGCCCGGAACCCAAGCCGCATCTACTTCCTCAATTCTTCCTCAGCCCTGAGCCTGAAATGAGCCCTTTGACCCCGATCCTCGAACTTGCAGAACACCAACGCAGAGGAATAAGCTTGGTCAGCTGGCCTCGGCCGAAGCAGCAAACCTCACGGCTTGCAGCTTCAGCAAGGGTATCTGAAGCTGACAGTCCAAGCACGCTGTCTGCTTTGTGCAGCACGGAGGCAAACAAGCCGAGAGCGTCCCACCACGACGCCTGGAATGGAACTGTAAGTGCAGTCGCAAAGGGTGAATGCAGAACCCTCGACTCTTGCTAGTCTGTAAACTCGCTACAGAAAACGCACCTGACAGGAGTGCCCATGACCCAAAGCAAGCATGAAGTGCATGCTTACGCTGCCTCTGGCTCCGCAGTGTTCCAGTGCTCTTCCTAGCGGGCTGCACCCAGATAGCAATATACGTCTGCATCTCATGTGAGAATATACATGGGCACCATGCTTCACCGCGGAGCTCGAAGTTAATGTTCACGCGGTCACGGACGTGCCCGACCGTTTTTGCAACAACACATATCGATTTTGCATTTCGGGGCTCCGCCTCTCTAAACCCCCGCGACACAAGTCAGCTAAGCAGAATACAACACGCCAGCTCCCCTCAAGGTTCCCCAGTGTACTTCTAGACCTCCCTCGAACCCTAGTCCTGCTCCTGTTCGCCCTGAGCTTCCTGGCACAGAGTTTGCATGACTTTTTCACACAGATGCGCACAGGGCAGACAGCTTTCAACTGACAGCAGCAGGAGTAGTGGAGGCAGCCAAAAGGGCTCCCTTCAAGCTTACGCCAAGCTGCAAAAGCAAGACAAAGGAAAAACGCCCGAAACCCAGAAGCAAGGAGCTCTCTGCATCCTCTGATCCACACGGTGCCTTCGCTGCTTGGTCCGGCTGCTTGCTGCAGATGTCCTGCTGGGCGTACAACGAAACTGTCACGAAAAGACACTCCTTCAGCATCCTTTCCAGCCAAGCAGAGCATTTATCGACACTCAAGCTCCGCAAATTCTACAATCGGGCAATTGCTGCATTTTGCAGCGGCTGCGTGGATCATACATGTGCTAGCAGAGACTGCTCCTCGAGAGATGCCAGGGGCCAGGGCACAGTGTCCGGCACCTTGGCGTGATCCTCCATCTCCCCGCAGTCCCCGCAGACAGTGTGGAGTCGTGGCGGTGCGACCTGCGTGTGTTACAGCTACAGCGACGAAGCATATCGATTTCTCAGCATCAGACTACATATTTGGATGGATGTGCTGCAAGCCCGAAACCCCATTGCCACCTGAGAAGGCCTGTTGTGCAGCCATGATCCCACCGACCTCAGCAGCAAGGCAGGGTCAACAACAAGAATGCTCCTTGTGGCCTGCCGCGCTCTATCGCAAACCTGAAACAGGCAAAGATGAACACCATGATGATGGCGATGGTGACGGTGATGGAGTGACGACAGCGAGGTCGTCGCGGTGGTCATGAGTGCTCACAGGGACGGACAGGGGCCGAAGAGGCAAGGACTTACATAACATGCTCACGGCAGGCACATAAGCTTAGTCAGGCACGGCTTGAACTTGAAGGCCGTGCCCTGAGGAAGCTGAGCCATCTCCAACTTCTCTGGCGGATTCCCTGGTCAGGAAGAGCCACAGTCTGTCAGCAACTCATGGTGTCTTCGATCGTCGACCTTCTTTCGACCCCTTCTCCAGGATGCCACTCATGGACGCACGCAGCAAGGTGCCGCGAGCCTGCCGGCGAATACGTCTCTCTGTCTTGCAACAGATCCATTGCTGCTATAAGCAGGCCAGGTCGGGATGGGCCGTCAACGACCCACGGGGTGATCCCTTCAGAAGTTTGGCTCTCGCCTGCAGCCACTTGTTGCCCCTCCGTTCCCATTCGTTTGCATACCAGATGCACTGCAGCTACACGGAGACCAAAGAGCAACGATATCTTGCCTGCTGTCGCAGCTCCTCAAGCTTTGCTCCGTCCTGGCCAAAAGCAGAGTGGCATCTACCTGTATTTACAGGAGCTCATGTAGGACAGACCCTATCGGTAGACAGGCTCTGGGCCATGATTCTACATGGGCAAAAATCAGGGAGGCAAAATAGAATGCTGACAAAAAAGATAACTCCAAACAACAGCGATGAAAACAACTACGGCTATATGTACATTAAAACTTGTCGGATGTATGTTTGCCTTGCGTTGGTGATCACCTTTCGATAGGTGAGTGACTTAAATCCCCAAGGTTCCCTTTTCTGGGAAATCAAGATGCATATCGAAGAATTATGCAAAGCAATACCTGCATATACTCAGGCTTCGAACTGCCCAGCCGAGGGACTGTTGAACTGTCGGACATGTTGAGAGGTCTCCCGTACCCAAGAAAGCTTGTTGAACAGAACACGACACGTTGAGACGCTAGAATGTGGCCTCGGAAGACCGATACTGAACGTTTTTTCACCTCAGTACGAAGACTGACAATAAGGAACTTGGAGAGCAAGACGTCCCGAAACATAAAGATTGAGACTTGCAAGATATTTAGCACCTCGAAGTTTTGCACAAGTAGGCATATGCCAAACCCATCTTCTTTCGCACCTCACTTGGCTCCGCTTGAAGAAACATGTCGAGGTACAGGTGGTCTCAATATTGTACTACACATTCCTAGCCAGGCCTGGAGCATGGACGTGGGCGCCAGGGGCATCGGGCATGGAAGTGTAAGTGTGTGGTTCAATGTGGACAAGATTTCGACGAGTTGTCGTGCAAAACGGCGAGGAGCATATGTTGAGGCGACGCAGACACGTTCTACCACCAACACAGCCGACTAAACCCACAATTGAACCCTGAACCCTAGTTAATCAGAAAACATCCCAAAACCCTGCACCACCGAATACGCGCAAAACCTCAAATCCCGAAACATGCACCCTCCTGCTGCGTTGCTTGAACAGCCTACACGCCTCAAGAGGCTCAGCAACCCAGACTGGCCAACATCATTGCGAGCCCCCCGCTCTCCAGCGATAAGCCCAGAATCCTTATAATCATAAAATCCTAGAACCAAAAAACCCCAAGGCCTGCCGGACAACGTCCCAAGGTGTTATCTGCAGATAAAGGGTCAAGGAGGCACTGCCTGGCTGAAGCACGCGCATGCCGTATGTGCACATGCTTGCCTGTGTGTAGCCAGGCAATACCAAGCATGATTAACCATATATGAAAGAGTGTCTGCTATATACAGAAAGGAGCTTCGAACATCAAGATGAAGGTGCATGTGCCTGTGTTTTGAAAGTATGCATAACTATGTGTATATATATACATATATGAGTTGTATATGTATGTGTATGTATGTACACGTATGTATATGTATGTATGTACATATATGTATATATGTGTATGTATGTATGTATGTATGTATGTATGTACGTATGTATGTATGTATGTATGCATGTATGTATGTATGCAAGGATGCATGGACGCATGTATGTACGCGAGTATGCATATTCTCTTTTTTTACATGTATAAGAAACTGCACATGTAGAAGCATGGTAAGCCCTCGGCCGCCCGCCAAGATATGAAAATGTATATGTATGTACATGGTAAGCCCCACCCCACCCGCCAAGATGTACACATTTAAGTTTCCGGCACCACCGAACATTTATGTGCACCCAGCCACGCCAGTTCACTCACTGCAAAGTAACACCCATGCATATGGTTCTGCATGAAAAATCGACGCATCCGAATCAAACCATATGAACATGCGATACAGAATCTTCTTCCTGGTTCCCCGAAGCCCTGGCACATATACTGCATATATATATATATATATATATATATATAGTTTTTATACATACACCCACACACACGCACACACTCCAGCATTGACATGGACCTTGCGAGTTTCTTTCGGCAATGCTACAAAAATGGTTGATGTGTCCGCCACAGAGGACGATAGACCACAGACATCGGCCTCAATGCAGACGGGGTAGACGCATAGGCACGAGAAGGGGGAAATCGTCTGCCAAGACATACCCCCGGCTGAACGGAAACCTCCATGAACACCGAAACCCTTTCGAACACAGAAATTCTTGCATGCAAGCGTCTGCCATGACCTCGACAAGAGACAGCAGAACCTCCGATAGCACGGATTCAGTTGATATTCATCTGGAGCAACGGGCTCGTGTCAACATTGCAGGGAAAGACCCAAGCCCACGTCCAAACTTCACAGACGTATCCATACACACCTTGAGTACTATCATTATTAGCAAAGGCCCTGATAGGATCCTGTTGGAACCCGGTGCTTGGAACAACCCCAGGCCCCAGGCCGAGTCCTACTTGGATCGTCGGTGTGGGTTGTAAGTGTTTAGGCGACTTAGATAAGTGATTAGACGTGTACTAGTAATATTCGTTTGCAGCACTTATACACTAGTAACTTACAAGGGTTATGTAAGTGGCACTAAGTCGGCTACATAAGTCCACTTGGTAAGTGTTCGCGGTGACTTATAAGTCACTTAGGGTACGTCCTATAAGTAACTCTTGGCAGTTATTCACCCCGGTCAACAAAGTTTGTTGAAAACTAAACTGTCCACGTGCAAGTTTAGTAAAAATAAAGTTGCAACGTGCAAGTTTATTAGAAAAAAAGTTGCCATGTGCAAGTTTATTAAAAAAAGATAGATGCCATGCGCAAATTTAGTGGAAAATAAACAAGCGCTGGACCCGACCACAGCTAGCTAAGTCGACTGTAAGTCACTTACGAGACTTTCGATAAGTGCACTTATACGACTTTCCGTAAGCGATGTATTTGATTAACAGGTAATGGGAGATTACTTATACCTATTTATAGTAAGTCACCTATAACCAGTACAGCATTTATCCATAGCTCCATCCCGGCAAATACTAAGTGGCATATTCATTTAGGCCACTTAATAAAAGAACCCTCGTCACTTATTATGTCTCATAAGCAAAAGGTAAATAAATGCCAGACAAACTAGACTTAGCAAGTAAGGCTATCATACTTTGTTAAGTTGATAGACTTGATATAACGTGTCCTTTGGCCGACGTAGCATAAGTCCCCCGAGTCTGGTAAACACTTATAACCGACAGCGACGATCCAAGTAGGCAATCCCAGATCCTCAACGAAATCCATCCCACCACAGTCTATAGGGCTGCTGCAGCTGCCCGCCGGCGCAAAGCGCTCGGCTAAGGCGCGCGCCGCCAACACCTGCCTTGAAGCCGCCCTCGTGCAAGAGAGCCTCACACATGAAGGTGCTCAAGTGACAACTCGGAGGGCACAACGCGACTGGAGGAACAAAATCTCGGCTGCAGCCTTGCCAGCTCCAGTGTAGGTCAACGTCCTGCCGCAAGGGACCGTGCCCAAGCTTTCACTTTCGACTCTGGCCCGGCGCATTAGCGACACGCCAATACACTGCACGAGCTCGGATTTCTGGGTGCCCTCGACTCTCTGTCTCTAACTTGGCTGTGTCCTTGTAGGGCACTCGAGGAAAGTCGCAGATCGGGACGTTGTCACGGATCGGCTTGATGATCGCACCTGAGAGGTGCTGCTTGAGCTCTCGGGCAGGGAAGACGTTCGGATTCTGCTTTGGCGGCCAAGCCTGAGGTTTGTGGGCTGACCGGTTTGCAACGGTCAGGAGAGAGTGAAACGGATGGTGAGTCGGTGCAAGAGGGTGGTGCCCGAAACCGCATGAAGCTCTGAAAAAAAACGCAACCCCAATATACCCCAATGACAGCCGGTGGAGCACCTCCATTCCGAGATCAGGCAAGAGCGCCGGTTCGCGAGCGCTACTACACATCCACGCAACGCGATGTAAGCCACGACACCACGCCCATACTCATGAACTGGTGACATCGATGAATCCCAGCCGTCCCAAACCTCAGACTTCCCCTACATCCGCTACTACACTACCGCCGAGCTACTGAACTGTGCACCACAGCACTTGGCAACCCTCCGAACAATACCTTGTTGAGAATCTCACAACTAGAACCATAAGGAAGCCCAAAAAGTGAAGGTCCTGAGGTCCTAGCGAACTCACAAACAGTCAGCAACACACATGCTCACAATGCTTTCCTGAGTCATGACCTACAGAATCTCTGAAAACCACTTGAGCGCGGCTTCTGGACTAGCTTCCTTCCGAATTCGGCAAGGGCAAAGCGGCCATGACGGCAGGTGATCATGTGCCTTGGCCCCCGACCGGGTGAAGCAGGCGTGCAGAAGAAGAAGGGTCGAGACGAGACCTCGGTCACCTTGGCCACAGTGACTGCAAGAGTGCACAGACGAAGGTCAGGTGCCTGGTTACCAGATCCGAGCACACCTGTACCACCAATATGCAAATGCATCTTTTCTCAGAGATTGCACTGGTAGCAAAAACGTCTCTTTCAAACGGCCTCGAGAAAGATCAACATCCCGGCCAATGCAAGATAGCTGCAGTCGCACGGTAGACTGGCGAGGGCTCGAGCTTCCTCATGAGCGACAGCGTGCCCGAGCCGGAGCCCGAGACAACCACCTTCCTTACCGAAGTGCTTCTAATCTGTCATGACCGACATTAATCGGTGGTATCCCTCTTTGGCACCCTTCAAACCTGAAAGCACGGCGTGTAGGCAGAACATTTGCTTGAATGGAACCATTGGTGGAAAGACTTCGAAACTCGGAGACCAGCTACCCTTCAGCATCAAGACCTGGAGCATGCCTATCTCACTGCCATGACAACGCCGACTGGGGCAATACAGTCAAGCATAATTCAGAGCTATTTACGCTTGCATTGCAAAATATCAGTTGCTTGGCAAGC